ACGTTAGCCACACTCAACCGGCCGAAGAGCCACGTGGGCCTAGCGTGTTTCACCGCACCGCGGGCCCCTTCTGACGCCAAGCGGCTGCACCGCCCCATGCGGGGGGGCCGCAGGGTGAGCCGGCCCCAGCCCCACTGCCCAGGTCTGGAGAGAAACAACACCTGCGGGCTGCAACCCGAGGGCTTTGGCGCTGGCCAGTGGGGTCCTGCTTGGCTTCAGCCCTGGGCCCCATAAGTCTCAGCCAGCCCTCTGGCCCAGAGGGTCACAGGGGACCATTCTGGCTACCAGGCAGCCCCAGACGGGCTGGGCAGTTGCTCTCACTCCCAGCCTGGCCGGTTTGCCCTGAACCTCCCAGCAGCGTGCCCTTCCCCACCTGGAAGATGCTGGCGCCGTAGGGCGTCCTCCAGGCGTTCAGCAGATTGTCCTTCCCTGTGCTCACGAACCATTTACCTTCTGGCTCCCAGGCAGCCCCAGACGGGCTGGGCAGTTGCTCTCACTCCCAGCCTGGCCGGTTTGCCCTGAACCTCCCAGCAGCGTGCCCTTCCCCACCTGGAAGATGCTGGCGCCGTAGGGCGTCCTCCAGGCGTTCAGCAGATTGTCCTTCCCTGTGCTCACGAACCATTTACCTGCGGCGGGAGAGCCTGCGGTCAGCAGGGCTGGGCCACGCGTGGGCGAGAGCCAGCAAAGGGGCATCTACCCGTCAGGCTGACATGAGACTGGGTGGCATTAGCAACGCCAGCCCACAGCCAAGGCCTGGTCCCCATCGTGCCAGGGCGGCACAGACAGGACGTGAAACTGCTCCTGCCCCAACGAGCTAGGGCCCCAAAGGGGGGAGGGGAAATTGAGGCCCAGAGCCAAGGTCACCCAGTAGGCCAGCGGCAGAGCCCAGAACAGAACCTTATAGGCTGACATGAGACTGGGTGGCATTAGCAACGCCAGCCCACAGCCAAGGCCTGGTCCCCATCGTGCCAGGGCGGCACAGACAGGACGTGAAACTGCTCCTGCCCCAACGAGCTAGGGCCCCAAAGGGGGGAGGGGAAATTGAGGCCCAGAGCCAAGGTCACCCAGTAGGCCAGCGGCAGAGCCCAGAACAGAACCTTATTCTTGAGTCTCAGCCACTGCCCTACCCACTAGGCTGTGCAGCCCTTGGGCCGGCCTGAGCGCGTATCTCCGCTTGCACTCCTACCGCAGGAGGCGAATTTGAGGGAGAGGACGCAGCTCTCATGCAGGTGGAGCTGGTACTTGTCCGGATTGGCCACGTGCAGGATCTCCACGTTGCTGCTCTCCATGCCCACGGCGAGCCACTCCCCCGAGGGGCAGTAACCCAGCGAGAAGATCTGGGGAGAGGGCAGAATCAGGCACCAGGAAACGGGTCCCTCCGAGGGAGGCGCGAGCGCAGCACAGTGGCCTCCCCACCCGCTCCGGCGCTTGGTGCCCCTTGGCCAATGTTCCCCGTAAGCTGCGCCGTGCACATCAGCGTACACAACAAAATGCATTCCGCACATGGATGGAAGGCGTTAGAGGGAACACTGCCATGGCCCACCCACCTGGGAGCTGAAGTCGTGTTGCTGCAGCTGGCGCCCCTCCCGCAGGTCCCAGCATCGCACCGTGTTATCCAGCCCCCCCGTCCACAGCTTGGTGCCGTAGTTGGAGATATCGATGCAGCTGGCACCGTCCGTGTGGCCCTGGAACTGCCTGGAGGGGAGAGAGGGGCCGTCAGGCGCCGTCGCCTGCTGCAGCTTAGGGGCCTGTGGCCAGGGACAGGGCAGCACCTCCCCTCTCCAGCAGCGCCGCAATGCATCCTGGGAAGGGATGCCCAGCGCTCACCTGACCAGCGTCTGGGTCTGCAGGGCCCACACCCGCAGCCCACTCACCCCAAGTGTGAGCAGCACCAGCCAGCTGCAAGCACCAGGGGTCACCCACTTGGCCCGGCGGGGGGGCTGTGTGGAGGTGCGGGGGAGGGGGGCTCACCTGACCATGGTCTGGTTCTGCAGGTCCCACACCACGATGTTGCCGTCGCTGCAGCAGGAGAAGCAGACCTTGGCGTCGGGGCTGATGGCCAGGGCGTAGCAGGCGGGCGCCGAGGAGGTCAGCTCCGCCTTGATGCGGGGGGTGGGCGCGGCCAGGTCCCAGATGGACAAGGGGCTGGCCTCCGCCCCCACCG